TCTGTCACTTTCGTGTCAGTTTTCTAGAGATGGATATTATTTTTCTTGTAAGTGAGTAGTTAAAATACAATCCATGGAATACTAACATTCAACCAGATGCTCTACACAAAACATAGTCTTTGAATAATCTAGATAAAATGCTCCAACTACTTTACTTACATTATAAAGCCATATATTTAAAAAAAGTGTTTCGGACCAATATATTACGATTACATACCCTTGTGAGACTCTAGAATCTTTTGTCATCCATTTATGCTGTTTCCGAAATACGGAAACAGGATGCTGGGGTGATAATTCTTTTGACTCCATCTAGCCAGTATGGAGATCTAGTTGTAACTATCCTTTTGTGTATCTGGAGACCCGACATTAACTTCTCATTGTCTTGCACTGTAAGTATATTGTGGGGGAATAGTGTAACGTTATGTATATTTTAAACCCACATAGTTTATTCTAGATTCCGAACAAGCCAAACTATTCATTTTTCTTAAACCACATTTTGACCTTGTCACTTATTGCCTTATTTATTCTGACTGTTTTTAGATGAGCGTATGTCAGTGCACATCTTATCTTACCTGTAGCTTATTCTTCTTATCTGGCTATAAATATTGACTAATGCTCGGTTAAATCGAGTTGGCATAATTGCCTTCTCCAATCCGTTCCACCCTTTCCTCTTTGTTTCGTCTCCCTGATTGTCTGTTCGAATCGGTGAGTACACGAAGCATACATATTCAAAATTCATTATCGTATGTGACTTATTTAACTCTGTTATTCACTAACGCAATTCAAGTCGATGGTTATTTACGAGGATTAGCAATATGTATATTTCGACAGCGATCAACATACGAGTCAGATTCAGAGCCTCAAAAGTGGTGAACCTGTCGACAACATCGTCCGACCTAAATGGCGTCGTTATCGGGCCAATGAAATATTACTAAGTTGAAAGACAGCATGTACGCCTCGAATGAATTCCTCTCGAAAGTTACTTATGAGCCGCCAAAATAAGTGGTACAACGAGGACTCGAAAATGGTGATAAGCGCTGGTATTTTTTCATTTCTGCCTTTACCCCCCACTTATTGCAACACAAACGAAATAAAAGACAGGCTCTATGAAGATTTATCTAACCTCCAGAAAGCTAAACTATCAGATGTAGCAATTATTGTTAATAATATCAACGACCAAGCAGGTGGGCTAAATGGAACTGAAAGATACTCAGGCGTGTATTTTGGCATCTCAGCTAAGTGGACAGAAACTGGCTACCATTTTTTTAAAACTACTTCCAGACATCTTTAGTAATTGTAAGTAACAACCTTGAACAGTAGCAAATACTGTTTAACCTGAAGACCACCGACGTCACAAGGATGAACACAAACAGATCAGATTACTATCAGTCGTCGTTTGAAGGGCTCAACTGATGAATCTCAATCCTATTTAAATTCCGACCACTCTGTTTTGTGAGCTCGTGTTTATTTGTGGCTTATTGGACACAAAACGTTCACAGGATACCTTTTTGAACTCATTTTAAAAATGTAAATGTCAAGGATACGTTTAAGATAGATTTAACTAAGCATTTAGTCGATCGTGTCGAGGATGTTCATCTTGAAGTAGCATGCCATGATCTGTAGTTCACTGTTGTAAAAACAGTGGTATTTGTTACCAACCTAGACCACGAAATTAAGAATAGTCAATTGGTCCAGAAGCAATATAGGGTTGTGGAGATTGTTTTATTGAGATCATTAACTGATCAACCTTAGACCACCACTGAAAACCTGGAAGTACTGGAAAGCCATTTCGTCCCAGTATGAGACTACTCAGCAGTACGAATCCACGATCCCACATGCGGACGCTTGACATCTAAACCACTGAGCCGGTATTCAACGGTATCAGTGTCTAACTTCGAACAATCCACGATATTACGCGACTATCTTCCATTGTCTTCAGTGGGTAACTGCCTCACACCTGACGCGATTAATCTCCACTGGTTACAGCTTCTCACTAGAACTCGTTCACGCGAGACCGAAGGCCCCAGGTTCGAGCTCCTTGTGCGGGGTCGTGGATTCGCACTGCTGAGAAGTGTCATACTAGTACGAAGCGGCCATACAGTGCTTCTAAGTTTTCAGTAGTGGTTTAACATTCGTCGGTTCATGATTTCAGTGATCTAGAAGTCTTTACCAAATTAACGGATCTTTGAAGACTCATCACTTCAGGTTCTGATAACGATAAATAGTTAAGGAAATTTCGAAGCAGATTGATAAAATTTCTACGTAATGACTGTGAGTAGTAGTGGTCAGCAAAAATAAAAGATGGAGAAGACATTAGTGATTAACATCTATAGGGAACTGTTCAAACTCACCAAGGAAATCGATATTAAAAAATGTGTTGATGGAAGTGTTACAGAAAAAAATAAAACAGTATTCCACTCAGTTTAAAACTATTCGTAAGGCACTTTAAGGAACAACAAACAATTAACTGGCCTCTGGTCACTCTTCAGTTACCTGCTATTCCCATGCAACCTAAATGGGAGATTGACACAAATCCGATAACTTAGCTAGTTTGGAAAGACTGTATTTAATTTGGGGTGGTGGAGAGCAGCAGGACCTGATCAGTTGACTCTAGAAATCTCCAAGAATGGTAGTCCAGCTTTAGGAGTTGAGTACAATGTTATCTAGAGCTGGACAGCTAAATGTAGTCCCGTCTTACTTGTCTCAATCATCGATCCTCCCAATCTATAATAACGAACTAGTTTTCCCTCGTAATAGCCATAAAGAAGTAACTTTGAGGAATATGGCGTCTAAAGGATTAGTCTCGAGAATTAATTGACGCCTAAAAGAAGTTAACGATCAGCAAATACGAGAAAAGCCAATTTCGTTCTTGGATTTGTATGTATCCGGAAATGCTTTATCTTTTGGCAGAATTTAGAACATGCATACGTACCGACACTTGACTAACCAATCATATTTCTCGATCTGAGGGCAACATTTAACTCCATATACCAGGTGGTTTTGAATCAGTTTTTTTAATTGAACTATGTACTAGAAAAGTACGCGAACCATCTGAAGGCTTTTTGCTCGAGCTCCAACAGTCGTATTTAAGGTTATGACAGATTATTAGCAGAACTAAAAACAATGAGTAATGCTTATTAGGGCTCTACTTCTTTTACTTACCAAAATCATAGACATTGCTTTAGAGGAAACTTACGTTGTTTGGGTTTTTAGGGACTGATCTACCAAGAGATTGACTTGTTGACTTGGAATATACTGATGACATGGTTGTGTTCATTGGAGACCCAGAAATACTGTAAAGCCTTCTGGCTACTTCGAGTGACAATCCTGCTATAGCGTGCCAACCAGCAGGGTCACTTGATAATTAGAAATATCCTAAAGGGCATATACATACCACTGGCTAAGATATGGGTTGATTTTCAAGGGATAAAATGTCTATATATGAGTGTTTATGCATGTTATTCGGTGCTCTAGTAGACTTTCTCCTTCACTCTTGACTTCAAGTAGTAAGTTGGGGGTGAGGGTTGGCGCGTAGCACGTTGTGTATCAGTGTCAGATTTCGAACGCCGTGCATCATGACGTGTCCAAGAATGTTTTCGACGTGTTTCCCCCCTGTAAATACAACATGTATCTTCGGGACTGGTCTGGGTCAACCTCAATCAGTAATTGGAGACGTTGAGTGACGTGGTCCAGAATTGGCCACAGTGACCCAGATGAGCTTCCTCTTTATCTTCCCCTTAGCCTCGAGCTTCAATATTGTTTCGTACTTTGTATTTATCGAATTCATTCCTTTTCGAACTGTATTCCCCGATGTTTAGCCTTTCACACCGAAATTGATAGTAATGTCATTCACTTTCATTTTATAGACCCAGAGTAAAGCAATCGGTGGTCACATATTTACCAAATTTCTTTATGTTTGATAGTTACTGCTTTATGAACATTTGCGCAAACTGATTCTTGAACACCGTCTCGCTCATTCCAAGACATCAGTCACTTCGCCTCTTCATATTTACCCCACCTCTCGTTCGTTGAATAATACTTTGACCTAATACTATACGCAAAAAATATATCGTGCGTCTATCAACATTCTAAAAACTCTAAACAAAGTATTATTTCTATCAATTTATTTTCTCATTGATTGTTTGAATCTTCTCATTGATGTTTAGGGTTGCAATTGATCAGTCTCTTATTGGCATATGTGCATCCTGTGGTGGTTGCCTCGATATTGCATTAATTCACAAACACTATAAGTATAGGTGAATGGTAACTAGCAGTGGAGTCCAGGACGCGAGTTTCGTTCATTCGAGTTCCGGAGTGAATATCTACTCTGGAATGCAGGTACATCTAGCTGATGAGTTCCAAATAGGACGAAATGCACGTCATGGATTCCAATGCTAGTCACTATCCATCTCTGTTTATTATCTCCATTGATCCAATACAGCAGTGGTGTTGCTCAGGATTCCCCAATCTCGTCGTGCCTTTCTATTTTGGCATTAATGACATCCTGGAGACAGATAGATATGCAAAAACACTAGTACTATAAAGCAGTCCTCTGAAAGTCGAATTTTGACCTCAATTACTCGATTAATATTATTGTACTTTTTGATGATACAGGCTACTTAAATCCCATTTAATTATTTGACTATTAGCGTCTATAAATATAGTGTTTCACTCCATGAGTGACAAAATCCTTTGCATGCACATACCCTTTGTGTTGAGTCATCAAATCTAGTCAACTTCATATACCCTTGTGGTGTGATGTATTGACTTGAAATTACAACTCAGCAATTGAGAGTCAGATGCCTAAACCATTTAGATACAACTCTCTCTTAGTTGTAGGTAGGGGAATTATTTGTAGATAGCGGAATGGGACAGAATGGCTCAAACATTGGTATGTTTCTTTGTGCTCTAAAAATTTCAATGAAACACTTTGATGGTAACAACAATCTGTAGTAAATAGCTATTTATTATTCATTTATACTTTACAAAATTTTGGGAAGAAATTCGGGTCCACATCTGATCCACAGTTCTTTCAATCTACTCCATTTCCTGAGTATTGTGAAGCAAACTGTTTGAAATCAATCTCTACATGTTTGAATTCCCGACAAATTGACTCTGACTTTGAATCTTCATGCTCTCATGATCATATTAACAATAATTTCGCTCATGCTGCGTCTACCAGTTACCTTCAGCAGATTCGTTCAAACGAAATAGGTCCAAAGGAATCATTCGGTTCATATCACTTGTCCTCGTCAAGTAATTCAACTAGTTCTGTATCGCTCTCAGTAGATGGACAAAGTGATAATTCTGAAGAAATAAAATTGTCGGAATTGTTGGTCAGGAACAAGGTAATTTTCTGTAGTTTTTTGTTGAAACGGTGTTCAGAATAATTTTGTCTTCACATTTCAATGTCATCTCATTATCGAACATAATAAATGACTAATTTACATCCATATAATGTTACAATTCATAAATAACATGATCAAAAATCGTTACATCAATACTAAATTTATAAAGTCGATGTTTATTTTGAGGAATTTGTTGTTTACTTTCATAAGACCAGAATCTAATTCACAAATTTGCCTTTATGGGATAATGGCTCTCATCTACAAATTATATTCAGCCTTACAGTAACTAAAACGCTATTGAGCATTGAAAATTATCCATACTGAATATTACGAATCAGCAGTAAATTCTTGGTGCTCATATTCCTATAAATCGGAACAACTTTTGCTTGAGCCGTTATCTAAGGATCATGCTAACTATCCATTTGATTGAGTACCAGTAAGTGTCTTAAATTAGACAAGCATTGACATGTCTTGAATTCAAAATATCATACTTTTTCCTCTCATATTGTTATGGATTTTAACAAGATAAAAACCTTAATGGTCTGCATCCATTTTTTTTAGATTCATAATCTTTGTTTTTATCATTTATTTAAGCTTTGTTTCGAAAATATCACTAAATGTTTTCGGGCTTCATATAGTCTCCTTCTTAATACCTACCAGTGGAGTTAAACTGTCGGGTGTGAGGCAGTTACCCACTGAAGACAATGGAAGATAGTCGCGTAATATCGTGGATTGTTCGAAGTTAGACACTGACACCGTTGAATACCGGCTCAGTGGTTTAGATGTCAAGCGTCCGCATGTGGGATCGTGGATTCGTACTGCTGAGTAGTCTCATACTGGGACGAAATGGCCTTTCAGTGCTTCCAAGTTTTCAGTGGTGGTCTAAGGTTGATCAGTTAATGATCTCAATAAAACAATCTCCACAACCCTATACTGATAATTATCATTCAACAGCCTTGAAATAATGATTCATTAAAAGCCTTTCGCATCTTGATTGTGTTATCATTACACACTGGGTTTTATTTTTCAGTATAAATAATGGTTGGATCACATATACTTTCAACGCATATACAGATTTTGTTGCTTTTTTGTTACGAGTTATATATTGACGATGATGTATTATTTCAGAACCTTAAGCACTTACCGCAAGTTATAAGGTCTGAGAAAATGACTACTTGTCTGAATAATTTCTCGTTACACTGATCGCATATATTTCTGAGAATATAATTACTCCCTCTCATTTTACATCCGACTTCACTTTAAGCTGACTTATTGTGACTCTGTAGACCAAGAAATTAAGCACTTGAATTTTATCCATTTTGTTTACCTAATCGTACTTTTTTTATAGTAAGTGTTGCTCAAATCTTGAGAGATAAATATCAGCAGGGTTATCAAGTAGTTGCATCAGTTTTTAAAAGATTTTTTATTCGGTTGTTGTTTTATATACAAAGAACAATATGTCGTAAAGATATCGGTCGTAATAATATATTCCATTTGTCTTTTTGATCAGTTCGTTGTATTTTAATAAGTAATAGTTCTCTCTCTGTGATGTTTCAACTACTTCTTTATTTGGTATTAAGTTAACGTTTTCATTATCTCTTTCTTTTACAGTCCCGACTTCCATGTGGAATCGATAGCATACGCCCACATTTAGAAAATGTCGATAACGTTCCATTACAAGTATCATTGTTTACTGATTGTACACCTAAAGGTTAATTGTTGTATATTACATAATTATTTAAATAACATGTTGTACAGTATAACGCTATGACTTGCTTACATATACAGTCCCCGATCGGTTCGTTTTCGAACACAGTTAAAATGATTTTTTTATGTAAACATCAATGACACATTTTCCCATATTTTGGTACATATATCTTTGCTGAATGTCTTACGGTATACTTGTTTAGACGTTTTCCAACATGTATTATGTTAGGAATTTTCGAAGTGGTTTTTAACTATTTCAGGTATAACAGTCATTATTTTATATATATTGAAAGCCGAGAACCTTAAATAATTGAGTGCTTTTCCATTGGAATTCAGTATGATTATCTAGTCACTGGAGTAAAAGCCAGTCTAATTTACCTCTATCACCCTCACCATTAAAAAGTTGTGAACACAGTTTACTGTATTTCACTATTTTCTCGCGACCTTAAAGTGTTTGAAATTTGAAAGAACTATTTGCTGACTTTTTTTAGTTCGATTTAGAACATGTTAACGTTTGAATTTTTGGGCGGATTCCAAATAAACGTTACGGGATGCCAGGAATGACTAAATGAATCGACACATTTCATCTAAGCACTTTGAATACTATTAATCAGTATCCTGCTGATATTATTATTATTATTATTATGTGTGACTTAGTGATAGTACCTGATTCTCTGATCTTGATATGTGGAATGTATTACGACCTAGTAGACTAGTAACATAGTTAATTACCTAAATTATAGGTTTTTAGTACACTATTCTATTATCTGTTTCAAAACCATTCACCCACTTGTATCATTTTATTTCTGCAGCACCAAGTAAGAACAGTAAGTAAAACTTAGTCATGAGTTCTTAATGTAAAAATCAGTAATACTGCCCATTCAACTAAACTACAGTTATTTGTATTTTATTTTATTTGAGATGCTAATAGATATAGCTCAAAATCTCAGGCAATTGTAACTTTCCTTTGTCATCTTGAAAAACTGTAAGATGGAGTGTGAAAAATTTTTTAGTGATATTTACCTTAGCTACCTCTATAAATTTCGTTGTGAGATATCAGCTCACTGAAGACAATGGTATATGGTGGCGCAACTTCGTGGATTGGTTGAAGTTAGACATTAACACCGTTGGATGCCGGCTCAGTGGTCTAATGGTTAAGTGCTCGCGCGCGAAGCCATAGTTCCTGGGTTCGAGCCCCGCGTGTTGCGGGGTCGTGGATGCGCACTGCTGAGGAGTCCCATACTAGGACGAAACGGCCGTTCAGTGCTTCCAGGTTTTCAATGGTGGTCTAGCTTCAACTGACTCATGATTTAAATCTGTGAAAATTTTCTATCTATATACAAAATTCTGTCACTAGTTTACAAAGAACACTTTTATAATTTATTTGTATTAGGGAATTTAACTTGGAATGAAAAATAAATTCATGTTTAAAAGCTTTCAATCGCTTGCCGAAATTCACGATCAATAAAAGCCTTTCCTTTCAGATCACTAATTAAACAGCAGAGGACTCATTCCTGTCACAAAAATGATGTCTGGCACACAAACTTGAGTTATTTTCTAACATTCAGAATCAAGATGTATGATGGGAACGTCGTTTGCACTTTACCAGCTTTAACATTCAAGTATCAGAGTATCCTATCTCTGCTTTGTTAACGCTTATACCTGTATTCGATTAATTAAATCAACAACAGTGACTCATCAAACATTACTAAAACTGTTGAACTGTGTATGAATCATTCATCTCACTTAACATCTCAATATCATTCTCTTTGTTTATTTACTTATTGAAAAGCTGTTAGCGAAATGATTCAAATAATGAAAGAATATGGGGATACTGTTTGCTTAATTGGAAGCTGTTATTCATTAACCAACTACGTATTGTTTCAACAATGTGATGTAGCTATTGCTGTGAAACCTATTCTACCCTACTCGAATTGTCAATTTGCAAATACCAAGTACATTGTCTCGAATCAAGTGAGTTCATATTTCCTATAATAATCCCACCCTTATTATTGAATATAAACTTCATTTCATATACCTCATCCATGCGAACACTTTTAAAAACTATTATTACTGGAAATATGTTAGTGCAATCAATCAGTCACCTACAGCGTAGGACCAGGCATATATATGCATCGGACTAAGTGATTAATTTTCGTGTTAGCTCCGTACTTATTGGAACCTTACCACCTGAGACGGAAATAGGTGGAATAAGGCGATATGTGCATTTTAGGCTCGACCTCTTCTAACCCCACACCCTCATGAGAAGGTAGTATCGCTGTTATGCTGTTTGTCTGAAGGAAACACTTTACTACTGTCACACTGTTGTACAGTCAGCAGTACGACTTCGCCTTTGGCCCTTGGGTTTGCTTGTTTTAGTCTTACCGTTCTTCAACTAACCTGTATGGTATGGTAGGACCTTGAGGAACGATTGTCCAAACCAGTATAGCTCGAGCGGTTCATCACGATAGACTAGCCCGACCACTGTGTCAAGGTAGCAGCAACGGTTGGGTTCAATGTAGCAGCAACTCAGTGATAAACCCTTATTCGATCACTTTAACACTGACTTCTCAGTCGCTTCTCCAGAAGTTTTACACTCTTGGTCCTCGAGTAAAATACAGAGGACTGTAGAAAACTAAAAAAATTACTTCGAAAGTCACGAATCTAAAGTAATGCAAAACATGAACAAACACACCAAAATTTCTCTTTACTTGTGTATATTTTAGGCTTATATTTACTCCTCGTAAGATAGTGGAATCAAAAAGCTTTATGATTGAGGCCACAGCGCCACAACATGGGAAACAAATGGAGTGCGGGGCTCAACTATTTGAATACATGAACATTTTATCATTCAATAGAGGGTAATAGGGAATGTGTTGCTTACATAAAATAAAAAATAAAAAAGTCTCATTTCTGTTTATAATTTCCTTAATTGTAATAGAATGTTGTCAGCTAACTCACCCAGATTCGACTGCTGCATTAACCTCCTTCCAAAATCAACTTCCGTTGACATTTTTTTCTTCTGTGTAATTTAAAACACTAGTTCAGAAACTATAGTACATAGTGCAGCCTTATGGAGAGTTTGTGCATTATGTTTAGTACTTGACATCAATACACTCACAATCAGTAACAAATAACACCTATTTAGTACTCAGAAGTTATCTAAAGCTGTCACACACTTTCATAGTATATCATCCACTGTCTTGGTTGCACGTATCGTCTCACTACAAATTATCGCAAGTGATTTGTTTACCTGTCCTTTGTAATTATTTTCTTCGCCAAGCAATCTAATAGGAGGTTATCGGTTAACTTTTTTGGCTGCTACACATTTGTCTTGATGCTTATACATAAAAGAGTATTGTTAGGACATTAAAAACTACTAGTATGAAGCCTTAGATTTTGATTTTTGTTACGGTATATCAGCAAATGTAAGAGAACTGGTGCTCCCTGTGGTGTTTAAATCAGCGCCACCCAGTGCCACATTCAGTGGTGCGACTACAGCTATCCGCGTGACTTGATCGATGTAATTCGATCAACATTATGGACTGAACAAATCTGATATAATTAAGTTTTAGTGGTGGCTTACAGTGTAATCCAGGACACGTGTCCTTCTAGCTGAATGTACTTGCATTCCAGTTTTAATGTTCACTGCGGTCCTCGAACCCAGTATCTTTCATTTGGAATACCAAACGCGTTACCCACTGAGCTACTGAGTCTAAATAGCCGCTAGCTTGTATAACGAGGATGAATTAATAATGGACCTAGCAGCATATAACAGCAGTAAAAATTAATTTGTGTAATGCCACAGAATTCTTATTCTATTAAAGTACAGCTTTTTAAGCTTACTTTCATAGAAGGCTTTGTTCTTCTCAATAAATGCTTATACCTAATCAAATAAACGGCACTTTTGATAAGTATGTAAGAACCGTATGTGTGTGTTCAAATCAGCGATTATCTTCGCGAAGCTTTAAAACGGTAAGTTAATCATTCTTTTATTATTCCTATGATAAGAAACTTTATCATTTACGATTTTTTAAAATCATTTTCAATGTACTGGACTCTGTTATATACATTATTGTTTTAATTAATTTCGGTTGAATTCTTTCTTTTCGTTGTATAACTTTCAAGTCTGTTGATCTGTTAACAAGTGATCTCCAGTCAGAAGAGTTTAGTTGTTCGAAAAAAAACCCGACTTCTACACATCAAGAAAGCGATACTACAAATTTTAATACATTCGACATTGCTGCACATCTTGTACACTTAGTTACACCTTGTCTTTTGGATATAGAGAAAACAGGATTTCATGTTTACGATCTTATTGTTGAGGTAAGTAGAGTAAAATTATACGTACTACAGTGGTTCTCGTATCACTTTTTTATTTGCGTAAAATCCGAAACATGATTTTTGTTGTATTTCACACTGAGCTTTATGTGCTTGGGTCACGATGTTAATTTTTTCATTGAGACCTAAATCCAAGACTTATTGCTTAAATCTTGACAGCATTATCACCCAATCCACTGGGTTATGATAGATATCTCTTGTTCTTTAATATAGTTACTCTCCTGTTGTCTAACATTGATGAATCCTTTACAAGTCGCATAAATTTCATTGGAATGTAAAAGTTGTTACAGTAAGGTGTTCTCAGCACCAATCATACCATATTACAACAAACTTCTGTTTAGTATACATTCAAGCCATATATATTTCAGGACGTTTTTTATGTTTGTCTTTAACACTCGGTATCTACTACCCATCCCCAATTAACAAAATTTCGTACCATCGGTTACAACATCTCTTTTTTGTCCATCGTAAATAAATTACATGAATTTCAGTATATTCGTCTGCAAAGAGGGAAACATCCCAACAACTTCAGTTTTTCTGTTTAAGTTTTCCAGTATTCACCATCTTGATAATTTGTAAACCTTTTATAATTGCACGTAAATATACATCATATTTATAGCTTTCCAGTCCACATAGATCTGAAACGGGAAGGTGAATTCTGATGCATGTACAACTTGGAAATAGGTGATCCAGACGTTTGAGCAGTTAATATTGCTTTAGAATAATCCTGTTTGGAGAGAATACATTCTTCAACTTAATCCATAGATTTTGACTTACACAGTTGACTGGATGGTATAATGTTAGAAACTATCTAGTGACTTAAAATATTAACCGTTTAGTGAAATTTAGCTGACTTGTACATTAAGGTATACTTTAGTGATTATTCAGAATACTTTTGAGCATTTTATTTTCCCATTTATATTAATCAGGCTCACGCCAGTGTTAATAACCTCTATCATTGTTTGGTGTTCAGTTCAACAACTCCGTTAGCAGTTGGTTTACTACAATTACTACTATTAATAATCGGGTTGCCTACACGTCCTGTTGTTTTGCTAGATGTGCGATCAAATCTTCAACAAGGCGAATTAATTTGGCTGCCTGTGGAACCATTTCGATCAGTTATTTTTGGTTCAAGTGAAGTTTTTGGTAATTTAAGCAAAACTGATGAGCACACTAACATTAATTTGTTACACTACAGTTCGGATTGGAATTTAGAACCAAGTCTTAGCATTGGTCAATTATTTTGGCTACTTTTCATTGTCATTCCATCTTTAACATTATCTTTAATTGATAGGCGAGTGGAAAGAAACCAACCGTTACGTGAGCCACCGATTAAGCGTAATAAACTATTTACTAAGAAGGTGAGTTTGTGCGATTATATATGTCTGAATGACCTTCCCTTAATTATCTAAATCTAATAATGGGTTCGATTTTTATTTGGAACACAATTGCTGATTATTTACTTGTGTGGATGTTCTGTGTGTAGCTGAACGTATACTTTCTTCTGTTAGTCGAAGTCTTGACTCACGGTAGAATAAATGTAATTAAACTACTATCTTTTTTAAATTTGTTTTTACTGTACATCATTAGTGCCTAAAAGATTTACTTTACGGCCACTATGATCATTCCTGAATAGATTTATCTCTTAACATTGGTTACTATTCGTCTTCTACTGCTATTTGGACAACCGTCTGGTACCATCAACTATGACACTTAGAGTGTGGCTCATCCCCAAGTGCCTAGTGTATGAGTTAGTTTGATTTTGATGGTTGTTTTACTTTTCTGAATTGATTGACTGGATTTCGCTGTAGGATTTTTACAATAAAACGAACATCATAGAGTAGGTCAGCTACAACGTAGGACCAGGCACATATATGCATCAGTCCAAGTTGCCATACCTCATTAACACAACAAGATGGACACCGGATTCCTAACAGTAGTTAATTCAGAGGTGGTAATATATAAAAGAAAGATTGCAATAAGGATATAGTACAGGAAGAAAGAATTAGTTCGTAGAAAAAAATATATGAAGCGATTTTAATCTCTTAGTTTAAGGGAACATAGAGAGTGTATACACCTACTCCATTGTGATCGATTCTGAGCCATGTCATAAAGAGTCTCCAACCATTGGTTACGATAGTCACGCGGACCCCAACCAAGTAGTCTGCATCTACCAACATGGCTCAAACTAGAAGTTAGTGACTTCAAGCACTGATGCCACGTTTCGGCTAGGTCGCCCCTAACATTCTTCCAACCATCTCCAGCACCGGTTAGCATCGCACGTCGTGTTAATCGGTGGCAAAAGCCAAGCGAGCTTTTCGAATCCGTGCTGAGATTTCGTCAGACACCAACCCATTAGGGCTGATCAGACATCCAAGGTAAGTGAAGTTGTCAACGCGTTCGACTACTTCACTCCCTATCCTTAGTTCAGGTGTTGATGCAGACCAGTCCTGAAGCAACAACTTGCATTTAGAGGGAGAGAAGCGCATTCCAAACATTCTGGCATTGTTGCTCAGTGCTACCAAACCACTCTGCATTCTATCAGCGTCTTCAACAAACAGGACTATGTCATCTGCGTATTCTAAGTCGATAAGTGGACCTCATGGATGGAGATCAATACCCGAGAACTTAGTCGACGAGAAAGTTATTTCCATCAGTAGATCTATGATGAAGTTAACCAAAAATGGGGAAGGTGGACAGCCTTGACAGACACCACTTGAGGTTGCAAAAGCAGATGACAGTTCGCCATAAGCTCTGACTCGACTAGTAGTGTTCGAGTAAAGAGCCTTCACAGTTTATGTACTTCTGAGGTACGCCTTTCAATGACAGACAGTGTCACAGAATCTCGCGGTCTACCGAGTCAAATACTGCTTTTAAGTCAAGAAAGACCACCACTGTCGGACGCCGATAACCATGCCTATGTTCTAGAACCTGACGAATGGTGAATATGTGGTCGATGCAGCCACGACCAGGTCTGAAGCCAGCTTGATTCTCTCGTGTTTGCAGTTCACGAGTCTTAGTTAAGCGTCTGCTAACTATCGAGGTTAGTATTTTAGATACTATATTAATTAAACTAATCCCTCTATGGTTGTCACAGGATGATTTTGACGCTTTCTTATATATTGGGACGATAAGTGATTGTGACCAGTTAGATGGGATAACGCCTAGCTCCCAGATCTTAGCTAAAATATTAGTCAACCTAATCGCTAAACTTGGACCACCATCCTTGAAGACCTCTGGAGCCAATCCATCTGGACCAGCTGCCCTTCCTCGTTTCAGATTAACTATATCCTTTTGAACTTCTGCTAGAGTTGGGGGACCTACTTCAATGTTCCATTCACACTGTCTGGGAATGGAGGGTAGTTATAGAGTCGCTGAAGGCCAGCTGAACTGTTCTCCGAAATGTTCCGCCCATCGTTCTAAACGTCTGGACTGGGAGCAGATGAGAGTGTCGTCTTTTTACGAGATCGTCTCACCTACATTTCACTTATTAATTCTAGTTTCTTTTATTAGTCTGTAGAGCTGCCTTGTGTTCCCTATAGCCGCCGCCTTTTCCATCACTTTTGCTTTCGTTGCCCACCACTGCTCACGGTCGTTTCTTAGACTTTTTCCTAACTTACCTCTGATTTGTTGTCGCTCTTCATCGTGTTCAGAGCCTGATGGGATGAGTTTACGAGAATCCATCAGTGCAATAGACTTAGAGGAAATCCATTGGTGTTTTGTAACCCTGTGGTTTAAATCATTGATAGATGTCACTGCTGTTTCCACAGCTATTTGCATAGCTTTTCAAGCAACATCTCGGTCAACCTCGTTTTCAGAACTACCTAAGTGTGACCCCAGTTGTTCCTGGAACCTACTTTTGGTTTTCTCGCTACTCAATTCAGTTCTAATGGATCTTTTTACTGTGGCTTTTTTGCGTCCAGTGAGGCACAAGAAGATGCGTGCCCGTATTAGGGCGTGATCGGAGTCCAAGCAGGTACTCCAGAATGAGCGACAATCTTCTACCGACCCTCTCCAGTCAGTCAGTTACAACGTAGTACCAGGCACATATGTACATCGGTCCAGGTTGCCATACCGCATCAGCACAACAAGATGAACACCGGATTCATAGCAGTGGTTAGGTCAAAGGTGACTGATGGCAATATGGTCTATTTGAGTCCATTGTTGGTTTGGTGCAGGCGGTCACCATGTTAGACGATGTCTCTCCTTATGCTTAAAATTAGTGTTTGCTAAAAACAAACGACTGTCTGAGCATATTTGCAGCAGACGATCACCATTATCTGTTCGTTGTGCCGGAATACTAAAATACCCACCTAAACGCCTTTCTGTTTGGTTTAAACTACCTATCTGGGTATTACAGTAACCTACTACGAGTAATATATCTGGACGTTTAGCTTTCTGTAAAATTCACCTTTCACTTCATCTCAGCTGCAGTCGGTGGGAGCGTAGGCAGAAACGACAAAAAGGCAACGACGTGTGTCCCTATCTTTCCGAGCTCTCACGGAGCCGTTTAGCCGAACAGCACATAAATGACTGTTAACGGGTATCCGTTCTAGCATTGCTTGTTCCGCCCTCATGCTTAGTGCTATCCCTACTCCTGCCAGTCCACGAGAGCTGGCCGTCGGGTCACCAGATACACGGAGGGTGTATCTCGTTGACTCTCCGTGTTGCCGAGGTGAGGTCAAGTGAATGACCACACTGGGATCCTGTACACGTGTTTCGGAGACACATCGTACACCAATGGTATGAGGGACAACTGCTTGAGGTCGGTCACACACGACCTTTTTGTGGGTAATTTTCGTGTCAGCTCCGTACTTGTTGAGACCTTACCGCCGGAGACGGAGATAAGGCGAGGTGTGCATTTTTAGGGTCGACCTATTCTAACCCCACCCATCCTTATGGGAAGGCAGCATCGCTGTCATGCTGGTTGTCTGAAGGAAACACCTTACTGCTGTCACACCTCTGTACAGTCAGCAGTACGACTTCGCCTTCGGACCTTGGGTTTGTTGCTTTTAGTCTTACCGCTCTTCAACCGACCTGTCTGACAACGGTAGGACCTTGAGGAACGGTTGTTCCAGCCGGTATAGCTCGGTTGCTTCATCACGATAGGCAAGCCCGACCACCACGTCAAGGTAGCAACAACGGTCGGGAGAGGGAGTTATTCTCAATTAATTTTGTCTTTGAAATAAGCTTCAGATATATCATATTGTTTAGTACATATGATTGCAACGCTTAGATCTTCATAATTTTACTATTAACTATCTTCCCATTTCACTCACTCATTACGTCTACATTTTCATTTGCCTTTATTCACAATACTCTTGTTAGTAACTAGTAATCACGTCGATAAAAAAAAGTCTCCAGTCTATTCAAACTGCCTACACAATTCTGTATATTGTATTTTTGACATTTTTCAGGCATTAATTCAAAACATTAAAAAGAAGAATATATTTGTAAAATCTCAAATTAACTCGGCGCCCAAATATTGTGAAACTATTCGTTCAAATTTAGACGAAAGTTCTTATCAATTCAAAACGTTAGCAAATTTTCTTTACTTTAGAAATATTAAGGCTATATTAAGTCTTATATGCTGCATTCTGACTAAAAGTTCTTTTAAATAAGTCAGTTTATGGAAATTTATATCTATTCAGGTTAACACAACAGAATGTTTTTATTTATTTGGTTAGTAACTGACAGAGACATCATATGCAAAGACATATCATTAATTTAAACTAGACATCAATTGTCATTCTATCCATAAGGTACCACATAGTTTATATCATCAAGTAGATTTGATTTGGCAAACATCCCAGTACTAACCTGTTCAGTTATTAATTCTCGTGTATTTTTCCAATTATTTCTCTTAATCTGTTTCTTTTATTGATACATGAATTTTTTTTCATCTGTTTGCGTGTTTTGTAAATTTAGAGATGCTTACGCTTTACTTTAGTGACTTGTTTTCGTTTCATACCGTCACTGTTAATTTGTCTATTTTGCGAAATTGGTCATCTTTTATGGGCTCAACAGCTTGAAGATTGTCACCAATCATTTCACAGTATTTATACAAATAAGTTTAATGGAACAAATCCCCTAATTAACGATTCCAAGGCATATACTAAAACACTATCGTAAGTTGAAATTATGTATTTTATATTGTTCGATCTATTATCATTATTTTTTAAATATGTTACACCATTTCATGCTTGTTTATTTCAGTTAAACTGATCATCCATTAGAGCTGTTCAGAAAATGAACGATTCTAAACTTGTAACCGAACGTTCTAAAACTATTCAATATGTAGTTACCAAACAGTTTCATGTATTTATTGCTTTCCTCATACAAAACACTTTCTCAACTACACGTACAGTCCCATAAAAACAAATCACTAGCATTAAACTGTTATCGAAACTGTGATAATCGTAAGATGACTTTAATTTTTTTTGGTCTCACTTCATTAATTTAACATAAATATTATTTGAATCAAAAATTAACTTCTAACATTCAATCAGCTCTAGATGTCGATAATATTTTAGCATGATTTGCAAAATGTTTATAATCGATGTTTCAATCCTAAATGTAAGTATGTTCCACGAAGAGGAACTTATGAGAACAGATAAACTTTTTTCTAGGTCTTTTATAATGTCATAAATAGTTTATTAAAAAAATTAACATAACATTCGTCTTATCTGCATTTGTACAAATCTGTGAGTTAAGAAAATATCGTTGCCCTATAACCTGATAATCATATCTAAATATGTCCACACATTTTTTATCACTGAGTTGTCTCCTATTCAATGGATCACTAATAACTTGGTTCTCATGAGAGTTAACCCCGAGCAATGAAAAAGGAACCAGTTTTCGCTTAATTGCGTAACCAACATAATTTTATCGGACGAACTAAGCATATGACTTGTCCTCACATTCACAGAGTATTGTTTCTACTTTATGGAGGCACAATAGATTCTTGATCAATTAAAATACTTTTTAACTTTTCAATAAAGGTAGCCTGTTCAAGATTTATATTGAACAACTGATAATTGGTACTACTTTCTAAAGTTTATACAATTGCTGAAAAGTTTCTCTGTGAAACCCTATATGCTTGTCAATGTAGTATAACTTCAGCAATTAAAAACAAAAACGTAATTACTATTTTAAGTTGTTTGCAGAAGCCTATCTTTTTTGTGCTGTATGGCCATGTTCATTGAATTCAGTGCTGTAACTAATATCAAGCTGTTCTCTCTCTCTCTCTCAACCCCAATTTCCTGCTTTCATCTTAAAAAGTAGTAATTTTTTCCCTTCAAGATGTTTAACGAAAAATTTAATGTTGATATGATTATCAAATAATTTTAAACTGTAAAACCCTGAACAATAATCAATTTCAAGTAATACTAGGTCAGTTCATTAAGAAAAGAACATCACTGACTAGTTATATATATATATATTTTATCCTTTTCTCAGATCATCTTATGCCCTTCAAGAATCATGTCTATCTAAATTGTCTATATTAATATACAGTTTAAAGGATTTAATCTTCTATCAGCTAATCATGTACCTAAGTATGTGAAGTGGGTTTAGTTGTTTTTTTAATTTTATGATATATATTTTCTAATAACATGTATATGCATCGTATTGTTATTATTATTACCATTGTTACTAATGATGTCATCGTAAATAGCTGCAATGTAGCACATGAATATTTTGTAGACAATATTGTCATAGACAGCTATTATGAAATATGTTTAACCTATATACTCTGATTTTGAGTTCGATTTTTTCTTTTATTCACTACTGATCTTCAAAAATGCGTATGTGTGATACTATGGGTAAAAGTATAGTCTCATTGATTACTTTATGATCATTTTTAATTAGTGGTTATCTTTTGCTAAGTCATAGTCATATTATCTCTGGTGAATATGCTGTATTTAAGTTACATTCTCTAACACATTCAACCCGTTGATTAGTCGGTTCTGTTTTGTGATGTCTATTTAAATGGAATTTAATGGTTGTGTCTGTCAGAAAAACATCTGCTTGGTCACTTGAACAATCCTAGTAGTCGTCTTTTGTGCCATCATAATAATTTGTATGCGTGCAAACTCAGTTAAAAGGTTATTTATGTTTTGAATTCACGAGTCAGTTAGTGTGTTACTGATTGAAATCCGTTTATCCAAACATGTAGCATAGTTGTTAGTGTTTAATAAAATACAAGCAAGTCTGGACTTATGTTGCACATTTGTAGGAAACGTGACCCGAGTCTTATATTTCACATAAGCACTAGTCTATGTTGTTCATTAATTTAAAACGAGTAAAGAGCATTCCTTAACTCACCTATCAATAGTTGATACTCATTACCTTAATGTACTAATAATATTATAATGATAACGACTTGAGACGATCCATGCTGCTTCACTCATTGTTCAACACTGTAGTTAGACATGGTGCTTACAGTATTTGTAAGATACATCTATGCAGTTTGGAGATAAAAAGACCACTTTGTCTGTCACTGAGCTACCAGGTTATGTAATATTAACGCACCTTAATGTAAATGTCATATATAGTTTATTTCTAACCACCTAAATTACACATAGTTGGTTGATTTTAATAATATAGAAAATGTATATTACGTTCTGAATCAATCAGGTAGTCCTCAATTCATCCCTCTCACTATTCTTTGCTTATTAATTACATCTAGTCATTGTAAAAAGCCATTTGCTTAATTCGCTTTTTTATTTGTTTCCAGTTGTTATATCATTTTCTTATGCCAATTATGGTCAAAGAGTATGGAAATTTCGGTATTCTACAAATCCTTCTTGGTGCATTGTCTCTAGTCTAATGTGGGTTACTTATTATTAAATGACTCTTTTTGTTCATTTTTTGCATCTTTTTCAACATTTTTGAGTACTGGGAGGACTTCCAGGCAAAAGACTTTTGATCCAATATCTTTCTTTTTACCCAGTTTTCCCATTCTGTTACCCTGAACCCAAAAATGTTTAATCGTAACTATGTTTATGCTTCTAAAGTTGTGGAAATACTTTAACCTAGCGGACAATGATATTCGTTCATATATTAGCTATTATTTTGTCTGTTCATTTGAACACAGATTTAGTGGTAACCAGTTAATTTTTTGGTCATCATACTCGCTGATTGCAGTTTTATCATGATGGAGAACTCAAACTATTTATATATCGCACTTCTCGGCCGTTAGTTATAGTACATTTCCTTTGTATTATAACTATACACAACAAACAAACGTCGTTTGTGTTTTTCGATCCAAAAGATGACAATCAGGTAACTTGAAGATAATGAAGTCAAACAATGAAGCCTTAAAACTTAAACGAAAGTTAATTCTCAGTATTTAAATATCATAAATGTAAACAGTTCATTTACCAGTTCCTTTATAGTCTTATGTAAAACCTCCACTGTACTTTAACTACTTATCTTGTCTGTATAAGCATAATGAAATTATGTAAGCATAAAGACTAATTTTTTTCTAATTGGCTCAGATTCTGGTAATAAAAATAACTAGTTCATAAAAATTCTAGCAATTTTTAAATATAATAAACATATTTATTAAGTTTCCTGCTTATATTAAGAGCCTTACTTATTTTACAGTATGTTAACATTGTTATTTAGCCAAATCTCTGTCTTTTTTTATCTATTTGTAAGAAATCCTTTCACACCATAAAAACAATAGAAATAAACACATCTCTTCTTTCGTCCTGGATGGTCGCTGAGTAATAAACATTCTCATGCTCATTTCTAACCCTTGGTTCTATCGATAAGCTGCAATGTCACTAGTAGTTTAAGTGACACCTCATCGTCCGCACTAGGTTTTTATGTTTAGCGACTGAACGTGATCGGCTGCAAGCACTGGATCTATTTCTCGTTACAACTGTGCTGTTTTGTCGATTCGATCTATATGGTTTACAGACTTCTTTCGAAAGCCTTCAACAAAGTAGCATCACAAATACTTCTTATGTCGCACTATTTTCACATTAATTATATTACGGAACTTCTAGAATATGATAAAAAAACTACTCATCTTTAATATGTGTTTGAATTGCATACATGTTTTATTCGTTCTTCATTTTATTTGTCGAACATAGTTAAAAGGCTTTATGTTTTAATACAAGTGTGTTTTTCTTGTGTGTTTTTTCCTTCAGATGCATTCTTCATTCGGTTTATATGATCGTTCGCTTGTGCGTCGTTAATTCTTCTTTAAGATTAACAAGTTGGCACATTTTATCTCCATTCATATCGGCATTTGGTTTTATCTGGTGCATTTTGCTATTTTTTATTAATGACTTTATATCATGGAGAGAAAATCGGTACGCATAACTGCATTACTGTCGTTTAATTTTTTTATTTAAAATTAGAGACAACATATTCAGCATAGATAATGTGAAGTGGTTGACAACAATCGTAGCTGTATACGCTATGTAGATGAGATGATTTTGTAGCCTTTTATTGGAATAATTTATAAACTAAGGTTGTTGATCTTGAAACCATATATTTCACTTCTATAAAAACGACTCAGTTATTGCTAACATTCGTTTACTATCTGCTTCATCTACTTCCTGTCTTCACCAGTTGGAAATTTTTATCTAACGTTTTACACATACATTTACGAAATCAATAGATTGAATGGCTTTTATTAAAAATGCTGATATGAAAGTGTATAGAAATCATACAATAACCACATAACATTTTTTGTCGAAGTCTATTATTGATGTTTATCAGGAGAAAGTCTGGTTCAACATTGTGATTCAGAGTAAAATGACGTTAAAAATGCTGCTTACTTCAGTTAAAAAAGGGTTTCATGAGTGCATATAGCTGGACAGAATAGCTGTTTGGTATTTCGTCTTTACAAATTGTTGTGTGATTAATACCAGCCTAAAAGTCAAATAATCTATTAATAAATTTAGTACGAATTCTTATTAGAGATTTAGTTAAAAAATATAAACCGTTCCAGTCAGTTACAACAAATATTACACTCCTCTAATTGTCTTTTGACTTGTGATCTGTATTAGATGACACCAAACAATATCCAGTTACGTGAACAACACCATTCCAGTTCAGTTTCATCGTTACAGTCAGATTCAATCTTCGTTTCCCCCTTTACATTTATTTCATCCTGTAGACAATTTTTATCACCCTGATTTGTTAAGAAGCAAAACAAGCCGAGAAATGCTTTGCTAATTTACTATTATTAATTTTTTATGCTAAATTAATTATCATTCTATAATCAGTGTTAAACTGACTCTTATTTATCCTCTTCATTTATGCCTTTCATAGAGCTATTATGACAGAGCATCGCTTGTCTAGACTTTACTTCAATACAAAGTTGGGTATGTATTCACCGGTTTGAATCCACTGAATTCTCGTCATCTCTCGAACAACAGGAAATTTTTCAATGGTTTTCCTTCCTTTTATTTTTTTGTTTTATAGTTGTGCCAATAAACTTATGATTCATAATTAAACTTTGACTTTTACACTGTAATCAATGCACGCCTGACCGCAGCTACTACCTTGACGTGGTGGTCGGGCTTACCTATCTTGATGACCCAACCGACCTATATTGGCTGGAACATATGTTCCTGCAGGTTCTACCATACCAGGCAGGTCGATTGGAGAACGGTAAGACTAAAAGCAGCAACTCAAGGTCTGAGGGCGAAGTCGTACTGCTGACTGTAGAGGGGTGTGACAGCAATAGTGTTTCCCTCGGACAACCAGCATCTGCAGCGATGCTGCCTTCTCACAAGGAAGAAAGGGGTCACAAAAGGTCGACCGTAAAAATGTCGCACCTCACCTTACCTCACGGATTTCCGTCTCCGGCGGTAAGGCCCTTTGAAGAACGGAGCTAACACATTAAAAACCTCCCATCGAAAGGCTGTGCGCGACCAGCCTCAAACAGTTGTCCCTTGGGCTCTGCGGTCACGTCCCCAGGTCGTTAAGACCGATATTAATCCCACTTCCTTTTCAGGTTCCTCAAGAAATACCCTTCCACGGTGTGGGCAGCCGGGAAGTGACATCAGCCCTTATACCCGTAACAACACAAGAGACCAAGTTGGTCACATTCAAACCTTTCCTGCACCTCCTAATACCTTTCTTATCTCCACGACTAACACTCCTCACGTCCCTTTATCATCTCGCACCGCTAGTGCAAACGATTCGAGTACGTGGAACGTTATTCCTGGTATCCTGAAACCACGCTCTAAACTACATGTAGGAGCTTTTAACGTCCGAACACTGAGCCAAATAGGACGACAGGCTTCCTTAGCTAGGACTCTAGCATCTCGCGCCATCGAAGTGTGCTGCGTCTCCAAAACGCGCATACAGGATCCGAGTAGCGTCATTCATTTGATCTCACCATGTCAAAATGAAGAACCAACTCGACTCACACTTCGTGTATCTCGAAGCCCATATGCTGCTTCTTGTGGCCTCGCCAGCGTAGGTATAGCATTGAGTCCTAGGGCAGAACTAGCTCTCTTAGAGTGGATCCCAGTAGACAGTCGTTTGTGCGCTGTCCGACTAAACGGAACAGTAAGGACTCGGAAAGATAGGGACACTCGTCGTTGCCTCTTCATCGTCTCTGTCAATTCTCTCACTGACTACAGCTCAGATAGTGTAAAAGATGAGTTTTATGGAAAGCTTTCCGACCTTCTACGAAAAGTTAGGCGTTCTGATGTAGTGATAGAGACTGGTGACTTTAATGCTCAAGCTGATAAGAAGCCTACGCAATGATCTCAACAGTGGTGGGTAGCGAAAGCAAGGGAGATGGAAAAGGCGGCGGTAATAGCTAATAGCAGACAATTGTTCAGACTTGTTAAGGAAACCGGAATTACGAACCCGAATGTTAGCGAAGCAATCTCAGAGGAAGATGGACATATACATTCTCAATCCAGGACAGTGGATCGATGCGCAGAACACTTTAGGGATCGGTTGAACTGGCCTTCAGCCGCCACACTTCGGTCCGTCTATCAACCAAAAGACGTGTTTACTGCGCAGCAGTTCGTTCCATCCTACTTTATGGCAGTGAAACGTGGCTGTTAAGAGAAGGGGATATTCGTAGGTTACTAGTATTTGATCATAGGTCTCTTCGAAACATTGCTCGTATATCCTGGGACCATCGAGTAAGTAACACAGTTGTTAGGAAACGGGTACTAGGTAAGGATAGCAAATCAATTGATGAAGTAGTGAAACTTCATCAGTTGGGATGGCTGGGACACGTGTTACGTATGCCGAACGACCGGCTGCCTCGACGTGCTATGTTCAGTGGTATAGGAGTAGGTTGGAAGAAAGCTAGAGGCGGCCAAACCAAAACATGGCACAAGTCCATGAAGTCACTGACAAGTGGACTGAGTCATGTTGGTATGTGTAGACTACCTGGTTGGGGACCGCGAGATGATGGCGACCGATGGTTAGAGACCCTGAATGACATGGCTCAAAATCGTTTGCAATGGCGCAGGTGCATCCACTCTCTGTGTTCTCCCAAATTCTAATCTTCTGACTTCTCCCTGTCTCTTTTTTCTCTTTCCAAATTTATTTCGCTAGATTATACTGACTGAATAACATCTTCAAATGCTAATCTTTCCAATTACTGCTTATACTCTCACTAGTTGTGTTGTAATGAAAGTATGATTTGCCGTTGAGCGTGCACAAAAAGCCGCAGCTTATGGACTATTAAATGTGTGAATTTCCATTTTTATCATTGATTTCTACTCTGGACTCATTGTGAGTGCGTGCCTGTAATTGTATTCACTAAAGTATTCTTTGGTGTTAATCTGGTTCTCCATTTTGGGCCGCAAATCCTGATCCTGATATAACGTGATTAGCCTTATATATGTGTAGAGAAGAAATAATTGTAAGCTGTACGTTGTATTATGAGTCATGGCTACATTCATTGAGGTGGGAGTAAACTGAACATAAATACATTAGGATCCATAGGTAGAATCTTATTTTATAAAGACGAATGGTCCTGGAGTTACTTATTTTATGTCTTCAAAATGAGTAATACCTAAAGCATATCCCCTAGAAGGCAAAACATATTTTGTAGAGTTGACGACAGGGGTTTCGCATGTGGTATTGTAGAGTCAAATAATCACTTACCATTGGACGGATTATTCATCAAGCTGACTAGAGGCATTTGTCTTTAGAAGACTGATCGCAGTGGCTTGATTATAGGTGAAAAATGCGATGAATCATTCATCGACAAGGTAATAGCATGTGAGACAATGATGCTACACAAACGTATCATTTCTCAAAGCGACCAGTCAAATCACTCTGGTCAATCATGTTAGATGATATCTGTTAACAAAAATGTGTAGCTAAGGTTCATTACATTCATTTGTGCTGTATTTCTAAATCATAACAACAAAGGGCGTTAAACCGGTGATGCGAAAAGCAGCCAGATGAAAGCCAGTTCAACTACTTGTTGGATATGAACTCGCTCAGAAAAAACTTGAATGTTAGTGCCAATAAATAAATCAGAGAAGCACTATGTGTTCGTGGCTTATCATCACTCCAAGAAATAATGATGTCCAAAAAAGTAGTTTACAGATTTCGAAAATGTTTGTTCTGTCTACTTTGGATGAGTATATAATGAAGTAACTGATGTGAACGTAACAACTGTATGTTTCAGACTCTCGCGTCATATATTTGACTTAAGAAAAATATCATTCAATGCATCTAACTAAAACAAATAAATAAAAAGACATAGATAATTCACAAGTGCTTGAATTCCTGATTTTTGCAGTAAATCAATATTCAACTTCAGCTTCTAATATGGGAATCCCATAGTTAATCAACTTTTTAACTTGCAACAATTAAGTGTTCTCATACGTCCTGGTAAAATAATATTAATATATATTAATATAATATTAATATAAAAGAAAATGTTTTGTTCTGTCAGACTGCTCATCGAATGTTAGTTCAATTCGCACTTGTTATTGCTGACAATTTTTCTAACCTCGAACAAACACTTGGTATCAGGTGTAAGGAACAGCAAGAATATTTCTCTATGTTCAGAAAAAAACCTGAGACAATCTGTGGTGTTTGTATGACCTAATGATTCCTTTGTACTTGATGGCTGCTTGTCTTCGAATCCCAAATACAATACGTTCGTTCGTGCTGTAGCGGTAAATAAATCCCCAAAATAAATAGCTCTGTAAGTTTTCGACATTGGATGCTGACCATATGTTTTAATAGATTCACCTAGCTGAAGGTGCTCGGTCATGCATCCGCACCAGATCACGTGTGTGAACGCTGTGCTCAACATCTACTGCAACAAATATATCTTCCGATCTCCTCGATTCTGTCTTTTGATTTCTCTTGGTGGGTACGCTTCATATAGAAGGTATTACTGGTTAAAGCGTTGTCACACACTGAATACCTGTGCCATTTTCAGTGCTCATATAGTTCTTTTTGGTTGAATTGCGTTATTTCTGGGATTCCTAGTTTTTACAATGATTCAAATAATTTTAATTATCACACAATCTGCACTTCTAACGCATTAACCCATGTATCAGAAAAACATGACCTAACTCGACTAGCAAAATTAAAAGAGCATTTTAACAAGCTCAAAATATTTCGGCGTTTAAGTAACGACTGTGTTTACAGTGCGATTGACAGTTAGAGATAACAATCTTATTATTACTGTAGCACGTACTATCAGCGTTTACTTGCAAGCAGGAGCGATCTGAAACACAACACAACAGTCAGGACCGGTGAATGACACTGAAGTAAGAACACGGCGTACTGGCACAACAGAGATATATTTAAAAATTGAAAGACGCGGTTCGAGTACAAAGAGGGAGGCTTATTACAAGATGGGTTTATCCATTGTTCTGCAGGTTCAGTTCGCACAGGGCCTGTTCCTCCTCTTCTAGTACGTTTACTTTTCATTGCCCTGTAATCAAAAAACAAACACATTAGTAACGTCACATGTAATGGTTTTTAATACCGTTACATTATTTTCAACTGTTTGGAGCGCTATTTATTTTCGAGTTTTCGGATTCAAATTAATAACTTACAAAAAACTTACTCATATTATTCGCTTTCACTCAACCGAAATAATTTTAACACAGTTTTTATTAATTATGATTTTCAAGCTACATATTGACCAATACGTTTAGGAAAATACTGTAGTCTCTGTGTTGGTATTGTTAGATTCACTTGACAAATGATTTATTTTTACAAATTTATTTATTTTACAAATTTGAATTCCTTGGTTTTGCGCCAAAAGGACCAGTTTTCAACTTTGTGTCGTACTTCTCACTTGGGAGTTCTTAAATGCCATTGGTTCATTGTCTCCTTTAGTATGCTTTTTTGTGCTGTTTCCTGAGGATATTTTTATGCTGTATATAAACCCTTGCGTTGGGCTTATTGTTGGTGTTCGTGCTTCTGGTTGCTTGTGAAATATACTTCCCTCTTTCTAACTCAGAGCCCTCATACTGTTAACAGGGCTATGACGCGTCGG